AGAAAATTAATAGTATTTATTAATGAGAAAATTAATAGTATTTATTAATGAGAAAATTAATAATATTTTATTAGTAAAGTTAACTGTGCAGTTCAGTATTTAACTACAATAATAACTATTGAAAAATTGTATTTCACATTAAGCTTAAAACTATAATAAATAAATTATGAAGTTGTAAATATAGTTATGCAAATACTCAATATTTTACAATCAATATTTTTGATAATCATATCTATGTAATAGCTATGTAATGTTATCAAGCCTTTCGTAACTTCATATAACTTACAAACTGTAACTAATAAATTAAATAATATTGAATTTTATTTATAAGTTTTTCAAATAAATATAATTTTGGGAGTAGCTATTTTTAGTTTAATTTTTTGATAATATTTAAATATTTTATAAACAGTTAAATAAATATATTTTACAATTTAAAATAAAGAATTTGCTTTAATGTTTCATAATGATAAAAATAAATAGTATTTAATTAGTATAAATAATTATTCTCTCATTTAGTTTTATCGACAATATATTTATAGAAAAAATCGCAATCGCTTTGCATTGACTTATAGAGGATTGCGTTGAAATCGTGGACACGTTTAACGCTATGCTTATCGATAGACCAGTCGTAGTATTGGTTGATAACCTGACCGCATGTCTGGCCCCTCACGTCTATACCCATCGATACAAATACTTTGAATAATTTCGCAAAATTGTCCCGCAATTCATGCGATGAATACTTTTGCAACGCGTTTACACTGTATTTAAAAATATAATATAAATTAATTAAATATTAAAGTAATAATAAAAATAATAATTTATTACAAAATATTCAGTATATTATAAGAATATTCATCATAAATGCTATACTAACTCATGTATATTCATATCAAACAACTCCTGGCCGATGGCACCCACACTATGGACGTCAGCCTTATTATTATGAAACATAATATTATCAATAACACCTTGATGAACTGCATCATCATAATCATCACGGTCATCATCAGTCACATCATCGGCGCGAACGCTGCCAAAGTTGCTGAGCTTAATATACCGGCCATCTCGACCATGGTCGGCCACCAATATATTATCAGCCCTGAGGTCACGGAG